CAAATTCCGTTTGCGCTCACACAAACTGCCAGCTTTCATTGGCAGGAGGAGGTGTGTGCAGTGCATGAGGTGTGAGCGAAGGAGGTCGTTCGCGGACGTACCTGGCTGGTGGTAACCCTGCCCATCTCCCTCCACTCCGCTCATCACGCGACACTGTTCCCAGCCGTTGACCTTGCCTGACGGCCTCTCCCTCACCTCATTCCACTTTCCCATTCCATCCACCGCTTTCATCGCTCCACACTTCTCTCTGATCCGAGCAACACGGATTTTAGATCGGACCTCACGCCTCGACTGCAGGAAATAATCGGCCAAGTACCTGGCGTTTCTACTGGGCAGCTTAACATAATGACGGCCTAGTGCCCTTTCGTCTATGCATTATTGTCATCGCTTCGAAGGGTCATGGTCCTAGTGTTTCGTTAACTTTAGACGAGCTCCGCGGCCGTTCAAACCCCAGCGATCCTTACAGAGATGTTTCAGCCTAGTCCTCCGAGTCAGTCTTCTAAGCCAGCGGGAGATCAAGCTGACCCCAGTCACCGATCTTCTCGAGGGCCTCTTTTTGAGATTGAGAGTGACACAGTGCAGAAGACCATTCTTGTGACGGGTGGTGCTGGATACATTGGTAGTCATACGTGTGTCGAGCTGCTGGAGGAAGGATTTAGGTAGGTTTGTGTTGGAGGAAGGATTTAGTGTCAGAGACTATTGGTGTTTGGGGGGCCTAGTGCTGACATGGTGCTGCTGGGTTCCCGCAGGGTGTTAGTTGTCGACAACTTGGCAAACTCGTCGGAAGAAGCAGTGAGAAGAGTTGTTGAACTGGCCAAGGACAAAGGCAGCAATCTGACGTTCCTGAAGGTTTGTGTGTACATTCGATGAACGCGTATCTCAAGCCATTCGTTTACTCACATTGCTTACTCAAACTACTCGTTGCTGTCACAGCTCGATCTCCTCGACAAAGAAGCGGTCGAATCCATCTTTCGCAGCCATCAGTATGTATCTCATCATTCTTCGATTCACAATGCGCATCCATATGCATGATGGCAACTGAGTCGCTACCTTTTTTTTTCCTCAGTGTCGACGCAGTCATTCATTTCGCGGGCCTTAAAGCCGTTGGCGAGAGTGTTAGTCTACCCATGAAATACTATCACAACAACTTGGTTGGGACACTGAACCTGCTCGAGGTCATGGCAGAGCATGACTGCAAAAAGGTACATTCTCAGACACAAGCGCAGATGGTATTTGCTTCGTCGTTGTCGACCTTCAGAGACTCTCAGCTTTTTTTGGTTCCATTTTACGCAGATAGTATTCTCGTCGTCTGCAACTGTTTATGGTCAACCACATCGTGTTCCTTGTATGGAAGATGACACCCTGCAAACGCTCAACCCTTATGCTAGAACCAAGGTAGGAGTTCTTGATTCGAAAACTTCTTTGGGATTTTTACGTGCTTCATCTGACAAGCGTTACTTCCGTGCAGTTATTCATTGAAGAGATTCTGAAGGACGTTCAAAAGGCAGATGCAGCATGGCGGATAGTCATCTTGCGATACTTTAACCCTGTTGGTGCTCATCCAAGTGGTAGGATCGGCGAAGACCCGAAAGGCCTTCCTAACAACCTAATGCCATTTCTTCAGCAAGTCGCTGTGGATAGAAGGCCGCATCTTATGGTCTTTGGCAACGACTACGAGACGCGAGATGGAACAGGGGTACGGTGCTTTTGAAGCCAATCGCCAGCTCCATCTGTTAAGTTTCGTCTCACGCTATCGCCATGCATATTGCAGGTTCGAGACTTCATTCATGTAATGGACCTCGCAACGGGACACGCAGCTGCTCTACAAAAGATCTTTCACACTGCAGACATGGGTGCGTTGCTCCCCCCATCAAACCCCCCTCTCTTCCCTCTCCCATTTCCCCCTACTTCCCCCTACCCCACGCACGCTCCGTTCCCCTCACCATAGCTCCTACCGCATTTCCTCTCACGACCCGCCGCTCCCCCACCTACCCACGTACACACTCGTGTAATTCCAAATAATTATGCAAACGCTGTAGGTGTCAATTATGACAAAGAAATCACAAGCTAGTAGGATTATTACTAAGGCGTGAACGATGGGTTTCATTGTGCTTTTACGCAGCTAAGGTTACTTCACCCACCCTAAAATTCCTCTCCTCCCCTGTTCCAACGTCTACCAGTCCCCACCCTTTTTCACGTCTTCGCCCTCCCTAGTCCCTGCACTTCTCTTTCCCCCCCCTCTCCCCCCCTCCCCCCCCCCCCCCCCCACTCTCTCTCTCTCTCTCTCTCTCTCTCTCTCTCTCTCTCTCTCTCTCTCGCTCTCTCTCGCTCCCTTTCTCCCTCTCTCTCTCTCATTCTCTCTCTCACTCTCTCCCTCTTACTCTCTCCCCACTCTCTCTTCTCTTCCCCTCCCGCACTGTCTCCACATGTTTAGTGCTCTGCAGTGAAACGTTCTTCTCACTGGACTGAATGGCACAAGGATACTATTTTCTAGTGTTCTCAGCCTGCTGTATATCCTGGTTAATCATTCTTAACCTCTTGCTATATAGACCTACTCATCTACTTGCCTGCATGGCACCAAAGCAATCCCTCTCGGGTGCCTTCTATTTGCCCACTCTTTTTTCTCATCCAGGTTGTGCGATCTACAACCTTGGGAATGGCAAAGGGAGCTCTGTTCTTGAGATGGTGGCAGCTTTTGAGAAGGCGGCTGGCAAGGTAAAGTTTTGTGCTTTTATTTGGAATGCACGCAACCTTGGTTGGGATTTAGGATTTTAACGTCAGTTGAAGTGCTGTTCCTACAGAAAATACCGGTGAAGATTGTGGAACGGAGACCTGGGGATGCGAGCGAGGTTTATGCTTGCACGGTGAAGGCTGCTCGAGAACTTGGTTGGAGGTATGTCTAACAATTCTTGTCCAACGTGATTCTGTCGTTTCTTGCATCGGTACAAATTGTGTACATCTCCCTGTCGTTTTCTTTTTTGCACTGTGCAAGCAATCATGGCCGTTTCCCACTTACAGACCCTCTTGCGATCCCTTTTTTGTTATTGTGTGTATGCGATGACATTTCAGTGGGCAGTACTCGATCGACGACATGTGTCGAGATCAGTGGAATTGGGCCCGGAATAATCCTTGGGGATACGCTGATGGCCCCTCGCCTTCAGAAGCTCAAGACGGGCCAGCTCAAGGAGCTCCTGATAGTACAAATGCAGCACTCACCAAAGAGACTTCTAACGGTGTTGCCGTAGCAGACAACCACAAAGAAAAGGTCTCAGTAGACTTATGATGCTCCTGGCTTGTCTTATTAAAACCCCACAACCCACCTACCGTATACTGGCAATAGGAATAGGATGTTATCCTCTTATACTGGTTATACTTCGCTTGCACAGTAGCCTGAGTAATCCAATCCGGCTTCCATAGAAGGCTGGTGTAGAAGGATAAGGACGTGTGGATTTTAATCTTCAAGGTACCTTATCCATACTTGTTGTGGCCCTGCAGGTCAATAACAGGCTCATATCTCGGCCCGTGCACGGTGCACCTCGCCCATGGATTGTGAAAGTCTGCTTTAAGTCGTCTTGCTAACTTCTTGTCCAGTAATGATACACAATGGGGGGTGGGTGGGTGGTGGGTAAAGAGAACTGCAACTAGAAAAGAAGAACGAGGGTGGGTGAGCAGGGCTCTCGTTATCAGACCAAATTGGTCTGATTTTCTGATTTTCAGACCTTGATTTTTGTTTTCATCTGATTTTCAAGACGAGGATTTTTACTTCGTCTGATCTGTAAGATAACGAATTTCAGTTCATCTGATTTTTCAGAGGAAGCCTTATACTTCGTCTGAAATTTCAGATAGGGGGTTGCATTTTGTCTGATATCGACCCCAATCCCCTCTCCCCCCCCCCCCCCTTCTTCCCCCCCGATCCCTCGCTTCTCTAACAGTGCAGCCCCCCATTTGATGCCCTCGCTCCTCGTCCCTATATTATTGGCCTAGTCCAGCCCTTCTCCCCCTTTCCCCCAGCCTTAGGTCCCCTCCCCAGGTCCCCGCTCCTAGCCTAGCCCGCTTTCCTCTCGAAAAGTCTCGCAACAGCCCAACACCCCCAGCCGAACTCCCCCGAAGTCCTTGTCGCAGCCCAACACCCACCCCCCCTGCCCTCAGCATGCCGCGAGCTGCCCAACAACCTTCCACATTTAGGTTGTGTCGCCCTGAATCGATATACGGTAATACACTACACGATGCAATTTGAAAAAAAACAGACAGCACTATCTATTTCAGCTGAAAAATCAGACGTGGCGTTTGCACTCGTCTGAAAGTTCAGACTAACCTTTTTTCCTCGTCAAAACGTCAGACCAAACGAATTTTTTTATACATGTCTTCAGACGGGCTTGAATCCTAGCAAGAGCCCTGTGGGTGAGGCTGATAGCCTCTCTCGTTCTTCTTTTGTAGGCGAAACGAGGGGCAAGTAACGTCGCATCGCACCACATCTTCTTTTGTTGCTGTTGAGCACTCTCCTACGAGCTAAGCCCCCCCAGACCACTCCCGTCCCGAGCTGCCTCCGTTCTAACTTGAGCCACCTCCCAGAGCCATTCACGGGCCAATGTCCTACCGTGGTAATTTAGCTCATCTTTTGGCAGGAGTTGTACTCCATCCAGCCAGTCCTCTTTTCATTTCCATTGTATGTAGACTCCGGTCCGGCCACAATGAGTTGGATTGGAAATTGCGATTGAAGAGATCCTCTATCGAACCTACGTACAACTACCTACCTAGAACATGAAAGTTCATTGCAGTCAGCAGCCTACCACAGTTAGACAGCCTAACAGAGAAACATACCGGTACTGGTAACAGGATGAATGGTCCCTAGTTTGTGAGCTTCAAAGTCAGCGACTCAAACACCACTTCCCAATCTACCTTACCGCACATCTGCAGACTCAACACGGCCAACATGGTGTGTTTCAGTCCAGCCAGCCTCCCTCCCCCACAAGCTCCACATGCACCCCACGCTCCTTCACTCACTTACCCAGAGACCCACCACCACCGCTTCGAACACCACCATTACCCCCAACCCCACCTCGATTCCCACGCACTCCCGCCCCACCCCTCCCACCCGACCACTCGCCTGCCCCTGCCACACCCCCACCAACCCCTGCCGCCCTCCCAGAGCCTATACCTCCGGACCCTATCGGCCTTGCCCTGCTGCCAGGTGGACCGGCCCAGCCAGCTGCTGGCACCAGCGATCCTGACCCTCCCACACCTTCCATCACCCCACCCAACCTAGTCGCACCAGGGCTTATCGCTCCTCCACTGCTGCCGCCTCCGTTCGCCCTCGCAGACGCAGCACCGGCAGCAGCAGCAGCAGTGTGGGGGTCGGTGAGCAGGGAGGAGGAGGCGACGGAGAGAGTGCGGGTGAAGGAGCTGTCAGTATCAGAGGCCTCGTCTCGCTCCATACGCTCCACTAACGAATCCATTGATGTGAAGAAGTCCCGCCGCACACCAGGCCCTTGCACCGCTGCTGCTGATGCCGAGGCTGGTGCCGAGCCTGATGCCGATGTCAAGGCTGATGCCGATGCTCGTGGTGACGGGGACGGTGACAGGTGGCTGCGATTCGCTGCGGTGCCACTGCTGCTGCCTGTTCCCCCCCCCCCTGCTGCTACTTCCGGTGTTGTCTTCCGCCGTGCTCTCTGCTGCTGCAGCGATTGGAGATGCGATGTGGATGCCATGGGCTGGGACGCGGTCCTACGAGCGTGCCCAGGCCCCACACCGTTCCCTGCACCACCTGCACCACCACCCGCACCCGCACCGCCTGTGCTTCTCCCTGGTGTTGTGCTTCGCCTGCTGCTGCCCATGCCAGCAGCAGCAGCAGCAGCAGCAGAAGAGGAGGCAGTGGCGCCTCTAAGTCCCCTGGAGTCCGAACCTCCTCGTCCACTGCTGTTGCCCGAGCCAGAGGCGCCTGCGGTGCGGTGCAGTGCGGTGCCAGAGCCACCAGTGCTGGCCGAACCACGCACAGCACCACGGCCTGTGGTGGTGGTTTGAGGAGCTGCAGTCGAGGCAGAAGCAGGAGAGGAGGCATCTGGAAAGAGGATCCGAGATGTGGGTGATGCTGCTCGCTGCCTCCCCTGCTGCTGCTGCTGCTGTGACTGCAGCTGCTGCTGTTGAGACAGCCCCGTGTGGTGGATCAAAAGGGACGTTCCAGATGCACCCCCACCCCGGGCCTCCCTCTGAGCTGCCAGCGAGGCAAGCAGCGCTGACGACCCCATGCCACCTGGCGCTGCAAGTGCCATGTCAGCACCATTCCCTGCTGATACTGCAGCAGCAGCGGCAGCAGCTGAAGCAGAGAGGGATGTGGACCCTCCTGTCGGGTGCAGGAGAGAGGAGGCGTCGGCAGCAGCAGGGGACGCTGGGAGAAAGAAGGGCCTCATGTGGGGGTCGTGGGGGAGGGCTGAGGAGGGGAGGATGGAGGAGTGGGTGTAGGGGTGGAGGAAGAAGGGCGAGTTGGGGTTGTTGGGGTTGTGGTGGTGCAGGAGGGGCGATGTTGTATAGAAGGTTGATGCTCCTGCCGACTGCCGGTTGAGAATACCAGATGTGGGGAAGGGGGAGACAGGCACAGGGGGCAGGAAGGGTGGGCGCAGAAATAGACGAGGAAACAAGGGTAGGAGCAGGAACAAAAGGTCAGCAAGGGGTTCGGCAGCAAGGGTAGGGGCAGGAAGAGGGGGGGGCAACAAGACAGGAGCAGCAAGAGGGGGCCAGAGCAAGGGTAGAGTAGGGCAGAGCAAGAGTGGAGGCGAGGTGAATGTTTGTAGGAGATCACCTCGACTCACTATGGTACCAACTTGGTGTTCAATCGAAGCCACCAACTATGGACATACAGGACCCTCAGAGCATTGGCTGTGCACGGGACAAAGGAGAGACCCCACACTAGGCTCACGCGGCTCACAACGCCCTCTCACAATGCGCGCAGAAGCAGTAGAAAGCAGCAGCAGGAGCGACAGACGGAGCATTCGGGGGAGCGGCAGCAGCGGCAGCGGCAGCAGCAGCGGCAGCGGCGGCGGCGGCGGCGGCGGCGGCGGCAGCGGCGGCGGCGGCGGCGGCAGCGGCGGCGGCAGCGGCAGCAGTGGTGGTAAAGGCGGCAGTGGGGCACTGACCTGCATGAGGCGGTGCGTGGGGTCAAAGGGCGAGTCGGCCGTGGCATCGGTGAAGGAGGAGATGGACGGCGATGACACGTTGCCGCCCTCCATGTGCTGCTGCGCTACCAGCCTGCTTCCGGGGAGACAAGGGCGCACACAAGGTGAAGAGAGCATGCGGGGCAGAGGGCTGGAGTGCGATGGGGCAGTGGTTGAAAGGCAGAAGCTGATGCATGGGCAGTAGACTGGTTGGGAGCACAGGGTTAGGGGAAGCAGGTGACGGGAGGTAGGGAAAATGTGCAGGAAAACGGGAGAGCAAGCGATAGAAGGAGGCTGGCAGGCGACACGACATGTGCCGAAAGGATTATGGGAAGAAAGAGAGGAAGGAGAGCAGCGGGCAGTGGAGCATGGGCGTACCCACCTACCTGCAGTGTGGAGCACGGGTGGGGCCATCTGCAGTGGAGCATGGGCGCGGGGGGGGCAGGCACACACCTGCCGTGGTGCATCTGGTGTTGCAGCATGGAGACAGCAGCCTGCCTCTCCGCCTTCTCTGCCTGCAGCTCCTCCACCAGCGCCATCAGCCGCCCGTTCAGACTCGCCACATCCACCGCCGCCACTCCCCCTGCCGCCGCTGCTTCTGCCACTCCTGCTGCTCCAGCCGCTGCTGCTGCTGCTGCCGCCGCCGAGGCTGCTGCTGATGATGGGACCATAGTTCCCAGGCCCGGCGCTGCTGCTGCTGCTGATGAGAATGCCGATGACGATGGTGTGGGTGCCGGTAGTGGCTCATCACGGGGAGTGTTGGCATCGGACGAGCAGGAGGAGAGGGACGCCGCTGGTGCTGCCGGTACTGATGCGGCGGCACCAGCAGCAGGCAAGACAGAGCCACCACCCCCCGGAGAAACAGCCACAGCTGGTGCAGATACAACGGACGGCGACTCGCCTGCACCTCCGCCTGCCACTGCTCCCACAACAGCAGCGGTCGGGGCAAAGGAGGCAGGCGGAGGAGCAGGCAGCGCCAGCAGATTCGAGGCAGCGCCCCTGGCACCACCAGCACCACTGGAGCCAACCCCAACACTGGCAGCAGCGGAGAGAGCTTGCTCCATATCCGCGGCCATCTTGCGGTGGTGTGCCGAGATGATGTTTCGCCTCACGTCCGACACTCGATGCTCCGTCTCCAGCAAACACCCCTCCAGCACGCTCGCTCGCTCCACTGCCGCTGCCAGCCGCATTTTCACCAGCCCCACTTCCGCCTTGGCACGCGCCGCCTCCGCCTCTGCTGCCTCCCGTGCTGCGCTCTCCTCTACCAGACGAGCTTCCACCTCGCGTGCCCAGCTGCTCGCACCTGCTGCTGCCGCTTCCATCTCTCTCGCTGCTGCTCTCAGCTCCTCCACCTGCTTCTCCAGTGCTTCCACCTCGTTAGAGCTCCTCTCTCCGCCCCCGCTGCCAGCACCACCACCGGCAGCAGTCTTCGCACCAGCCTTGCTGCCACCGGTGCCACTGCCGCGGCTGCCACTGCTGCTCTGCCGCTCCCCCAGCGACCCGCCACCCTGCCTCGAAACCAGCGCCAGCGCCTGACCCCCTTCCCCATCTCCATTCCCCTCCCCACCCCCACCCTCAATCAACCTCCCCTTCCCTCCCCCTCCCGCTCCCCCCTGTGCCTTAATCGCAGCTAACTCCAGCTTAAGCTCCTCGTTATGCTGCATGGTGTGCATCACCTTAGTGGCCACCTCAGTGAACGCGGTGCGGGTCTGGCTCATGTCCTCCTCCACCTGCTGCTTCTCTCTCTCCACCGCAGCCACTGCCTCGTCCAGCTCACCTATCCTCTCCCGTGCCTCTGCCAGCTGCTGGCTCAGCTCGCCCGCCTCTGCCTCCACTGCCACCAGCTCCTCGATCCGCCGCTGCGCTTCTGCCAGGCTGGCGTTCAGAGAGGCTGTTGTCTCGCGCCACGTGTCCAGCTCGCCACCCATGCTTGCCAGCCTGGCTTGCGCTGCCGCCAGCTCAGCTTCAACTTCCCGCTGCGACCTCCCACTCTGAGTGCCGGATCCGCCTCCTCCTCCCTCCTCTCTCTCTCTCCCTCTCCTCCTCTCCTCCTCCAGTTCCCTCTCCAGCCCCATTGCTCTCTCCCTCCAGCTCGCCACGTCACCCTCCACCTCTGCCATGCGTGCATTCGCCGCCTCCAGCTCAGCGCGGAACCGCTCCTTATCCGCCAGGCTGTCGGTGAGCTGGAGCACCATGTCCTCCACGGCTGCCAGCTCAGCATCCACAGCCTCGTTCTCAGCGCGCGCCTGCTCCAGGTCCCCTTGCAGCTGTGCTATGCGTTCCCTCGCCTCCTGCAGCGCCCACTCCATCTCCTGCGCCTCCTCCTCCCGCTCCTGCTCCCGCTGCTCTGCCCGCTGCTCCGCCTCCTGCCGTGCCCTCTCTCCACCACCACCACCACTGCCTCCTCCTCCCCGCTCTCCTCCATCCCCTCCTCTCTCACTCCCATCCCGCCCGTCCCGCCCATCCTCCCCGCGCCCACTATTCTCCCCTCCCCCCCCACCCCCTCCTCCAGCGTGAATCACCTCTTCCAGCTCCGCCGCTCTCGCAGCCGCCTCTTCCGCAAGCGCAGCAGCCACCTCCGCAGTCACCTTGTGCTGCGCCGCCAGCTCCTCCGCATCCCGCGCCCTCCTCACCGCGCCCTCCACCTCCTCCTCCATCCTCACCTTCTCCTCACACACGCGCTGCAACTCCCTCTCCACCTCCACCCTCCCCTCCCGCTCCTCCTCCGCCTGTCTCTCCGCCTTGCGCCGCTCCTCCTCTGCAACCGCCAGCTCGCCCTGCAGGCGGGCAACGGTGGCGGAGACAGCGGAGAGCTGCTCGTGCGTGTGGGCCACGCGGCGCTGCACGGCCTCCAGCTCGTCCATGAGCCGCGCCGCGTTCTTCACGCTCACGTCGCGCTCCTCCTGCATGCCCTCGCGCTCCTCGCGCATCACCTCCCACTCCTCCCGCACGCGCTCCAGCTCGCCCTTGAGTGCGTCCCGCTCCTCCCGCACGCGCTGCACTGCCTCTCGCGCCTCACCCTCCTCCGCCTCGCCCTCCCGCTGCTGCTGCTGCTGCTGCTTCTCCAGCCCTGACATGAGCGTCTTCACCTGATCCCGCTCCTCCCTTGCCCACTCCCTCTCGTTCCTCGCAGCTTCGCACTCCTCCTTCAGCCTATCCCTCTCCTCCTTCACTCTCTCACTCTCTTCCCTCACCTTCGCCATCTCAGTCTTCACCTCCTCGTTCTCCTCCCTTACTCGCTCATTCTCCTCCCTCGCTCGCTCGCTCTCCTCCCTCACTCTCTCGCTCTCTTCTCGCAGCCTCTCACACTCCTCTCCCAGCCTATCCAGCTCCTCCTTCACCCCGTCAATCTCCCCTCTCAGCCGCTCACACTCCTCCCTCACTCGCTCGCTCTCCCTCTGCCACCGCTCCTTCTCCTCATGCATCCGCTCACTCTCCTCACTCAGTCTCCCACACTCCTCCCTCAACACCACCAACTCTTCCATCACCCTCTCCTTCTCCCGCTCCACCTTCCCCCTCTCCTCCACCGCTCCATCTCTCTCCCTCACCGCTCGCTCCCTCTCCTCCTCCACACCCCTCGCGACCCTGCCACTGTCCTCCTCCAGTTGAGCCACTCGCGCCAGAAGCATTTCCCTGCCCCGCACTGCATCATCGCGCTCCTCCCTCACCGCCTCTCCCTCCTTCCGCCACGCCTCCCTCTCCTCCACAAGAGCATCCCTCTCCCTCCGCGCCTCGTCCCTCTCCTCCCTCACCCCCTCCCACTCCCCTCTCTCCCCCTCCATCTCTATCTCCGCCGCCTCCTTCTCCGCCCTCATCCTCTCCCTTTCCCCCCTCACTCTCTCACACTCCTCCCTCACTCTCTCACACTCCGCCTCCAGCCGTCTCACCTCCTCTCTCGCAGCATCCACCTCCCTCTGCGCGTCTCTCTGAACGTCCCTGCGCACAGACCGTGCCACCTCACCCTCCCCTTCCTGCAGCGCAGCCACCATGCGCGTCAAGTGCGCCTTCTCCTCCTCCCCCTGCTCCACCGCCTCCCTCCACCGCTCCCTCTCCTCCTGCGCACGTCCCAACTCCCCACTCACCCTCTCCACCTCCTCTTCTAACGCACGTCTCTCCTCCGCCCACTTCTCGCTCTCTCGCTCCCACTCTTCCGCCCTGCTCTTCCACTGCGCGCGCTCACCTTCCCATTCCTGCCTCTCCCTGTCCAGAACTCCCCTCACCTCCTTCACTCCCTCCTTCTCCCCGACATCCCTCTCCCTCACTCGCATCAGTCCCTCCACCTCGTCTCGGAGCCCGTCTCTCTCCTCCCTCACTCGCTCCCACTCCTCTCTCACCCTCGCAACCTCCTCCTCAAGCTTCTCCCTCTCTTCCTTCTCCCCCTGTACCCTCTCCCTTTCCTCCGCCTCCATTCTCCTCAATCTCTCCCTCACCTCCTCCCTCTCTTTCCCCACACTCTCTCGCTCCACCCTCATCGCATCCCACTCCTCTTTCAGCTGCTGCACCTCCTCCCTTAACTCGTCCCTCTCTTCCATCACCGCTCTCAACCGCTCCTCCTCCTCGCCTCTCTCCCCACTCACTTCCGCCCTCACTCTCTCCCTCTCCCGCACAGCTGCCTCCATCTGCTCCTCCGCCTTCCGCCTTCCCTCTTCCGCCCTCTCCACCTCCTCCCGCAGCTTCCCCCCTTCCTCCTGCGCGCGCTGCAGCTCCACGCGCATGCTCTCCCACTCCGCCACCATCCTATCCCGCACGTCCGCCATCCCGTCCCGCTCCCCCTTGGCGCGCACAACCTCCTTCCGCGCCTCTTCCCGCTCCCCCTCCGCGCGCCTCACCATCTCCTCAAGCTCCGCGCACCTCTCCCCCAGCCGAGCCAACTCCTTCTCCGCCTCCCCTCTCCGCGCCTCCTCCTCCACTTCCCCCTCCCGCCTCACGCTTTCCCGCCTCTCAGCCTGCGTGCGCTCCTCCTCCGCCGCCTGCGCCCTCCGCTCCTCTATCTCCGCCTCCATCCGCCGCAGCTTCTCCCGCAGCTCCCCCGCGCCCCCCTCCGTCTCCTCATACCGCCGCTTCCACTGCTCCACCTGTCCGCGCATCACCCGGAGCGTCGCGTCCCGCTCATCCCTCTCCGCGCCCGCCTCCTCCGCGCGCCTCCTCTCCACCTTCAACTCACCCTCCGCCTCCTCCCACCTCTTCCTCCACCCCTCCGCCTCCTCCTCCGCCGCTCTCACCTCCCCCTCCCGTGTCCGCTCCTCCTCCCCCAACCTCCTCACTCTCTCCTCCATCCGCCTCCCCTCCACCTCCCTCTCCTCCCACCTCCTCCTCCACATCTCAACCTCCTCCCTCAACCCGCGCACCTCCGCACCGCCATCCCCCTCCCCTCCCACACCCCCGCCCCCTCTCCCCTCCAACTCCTTCACCCTACCCCCCAGCCTCCGCTTCTCCACCTCCGCCTCATCCGCGACATCTTTCAACCGCTGCATCTCGCGCTCTAGATCACTAATGAGAATCTGTCTGTCTTCAAGCACCACCTGCATCGCATCCATCTCCGCGCTAGCTTCCGCCAGCTGCTCGTCCATGCCCTTGAGCCGCGCCTCCAGCTCCACGTACTGCGCCTCCCACTCGCGCGTCTTCTCCGCGATCGCCTCCTGGATGCGCCGCGCCTGCTCCTCGCGCACCCGCCGCAGCTCGCGCATGCACTCCTGCGCGGGGGGGGGAAAGGGGGGAGGGGTTTGCGGTGGGGGGAGCGCGGAGGGGGGCTGAGACTTTAGAGGCGGCAGCCGGTACGGGGAAGACGAGAGGGAGGAAGGATCGGAAAGGGAAGGGGGAGGGGAGGGCGGGAAGCGGAATGCGGAAGGGACAAGGATGGAGGATAGCACTGGAATGGGGAGAGAAGCGATGGCAGTGGCAGCACTGGCGGCAGTGGTGTTGAGTTGACGGTGCTTCCCTGGGGAAGCGCGAGGTGCCCACGACAAGGGACAAATGGAGGGGCGAGAGAGCAGCGAGGCAGCGCTGGATAGCACCCTCTCACCTCCTTTGCAGCTCTGAACGCACTCGTATGGACACTGTGCAGAGCACAGCACCGCACAGCACCATACAGCACCGCGCAGCACAGCCTCTTCCTTACGAACCATGCCATTCTCTTCCACTTCGTCTCTGCCACTCACATCTTCGCACACAACCCTCAACTCCCTACCCCTCTCACCTTTCACACCCATCACAACCATGCGAATCCCCTCCCCCCGCTTCCCCCCTCGCCTTCCCCCTCATCTCCCCCTCATCTTCCCATCCCATTCCCCTTCCCTCCCTGTCCCTTCCCTCTCCCCTCCCCTCCCACCCCATTCCCTCCCCTCCCCACCCGCTCCCCCCATCGCCCATACGCCTGCCGCGCGACTGACCTTGAGCGCGGCCTCTTTGCGCGCGACCTTCTTCTCGATCGCGTCCCGCAGCTGCATCGCCTGCTCCACGTGCGCCCTCCCCGCCGACGACCCGCCGCCCCCCCGCTCCCGCTCCCACCCCGCCGCTGGAGGCACCGCGATTGTTCGGCAACGGAAGTGGGAAGGGAAGATGGGGGAGGAGGGAGGGGGAAGGGAAAGGGGAGGGCGAGGGGTTCGTGTTGGGGATGTGGGGGGAAAGAATGGAAATAGAAACGGTTGACTGGCCGGGACTCGAACGGTTCCCACCTGCAGTTGCGCATCCAATATGTTTCCTTACTAGTTGTGTGTTTGATATTATACCCCGCTCTGGAATGCGCTTCGTAGTTCACAACCGCCCGCCAGCACGGCTCTTTACGGCGAAGGCAAATCCCCCCGTGAAAAAACTATAGCCAAAGCCCTACACATCCCACCAACGCGAGACCTCTCTCTTTCTCTGAGCCACCACGCGCTCTCTGTGTCGACGCGATAAAATGTTTAATTTCCGTTCATTCATCCGCGCTGTAAGCTTTCGCGAGCGAGCAGCGCGTAGAACCTGACCGTGAGGTGAGTAGAAAGATGCCGTAGCGGACCGAGAAGAGACCGAGAATTAAGAGCGTGACTGGTGAAGCCCGAGAAGCGTAGCTGGTGGTCCGCTCCTGGAAGGCGAGATCAGCACCACAGGCGTCATCACGACTTTACGATCAGCACGAACAAACACCAACGCACGCACCAAGGCACAGACGTTCCGACGAGAGTCGCTCGCGCTCTCACGAGGCTTTTGCGCAGTCGCAGTCGGACAGGCTCGTAACGCAGCGTGCCGCGACAAGGCGAAGCCCCGGTGTGGTCTGACGCAGATCAGCTAACCTCTTCCCCAAGATGAGTCGAGACGAGACGACGAGACGGGACGAGACGAGACGAGACGCGCCACTCAGTAAGAAGAGAGAGAGAGAGAGAGAGAGAGAGAGAGAGAGAGAGAGAGAGAGAGAGAGAGAGAGAGAGAGAGAGAGAGAGAGAGAGAGAGAGAGAGAGAGAGAGAGAGAGGGAGGGAGGGAGGGAGGGAGGGAGGGAGGGAGGGAGGGAGGGAGGGAGGGAGGGAGGGAGGGAGGGAGGGAGGGAGGGAGGGAGGGAGGGAGGGAGGGAGGGAGGGAGGGAGGGAGGGAGGGAGGGAGGGAGAGAGAGAGAGAGAGAGAGAGAGAGAGAGAGAGAGAGAGAGAGAGAGAGAGAGAGAGAGACAGCGACCGCGGCATGTCTCACCTGTCATGGCGTCTCGGGGTTGGCGGTGCGACTGTGCTTCCGCGAGGCTGCTGTCCATGGAGCTAACAGAGTTGAATGAGGTGGAGGAGACAGCAGGGAGAGCAGCACCCCCGCTGTAGCCGTCCTTGGCGTCCGGCGCATTGGACGCGGACGCCATGCCTGCTGGGTCGGAGTTTTCTACTCGCCCATTCCTACGCGTCATGAGCTCATGATGCCACGAGATGATGACGCCATGAGTCTGCGGAGGAGCGCGCTAATCGCTCGTCGTGCATCGCTTTGCCAACTGTTGCTAGATTGGAACTGGTAAGAGGAGTAGATTTACGGAGTGGGCGGGAAAGAAGGCATAAGCTCTTTCAACAGTTCACAGCTCTCCACCCCACCACAGTTCACCGCGTCCCAGGCGTGCCCACGAACTTGGAAGCGGGGGCGCGCTTTCTCTTCACACCTTTCCAAGTTACACTACGATAATTAGGGTCACATTTCAACTCGAAGCATTCTGCTTTGGTCATCATTGTCCAAAAGAGACACATTGAGCCTCTGGAAAACACGCCTTCGGTACGCTGGGTTTGGCATAGTAAACCCTGAAACAGCAGGTGAGGCGGATTGGCACCCTTGATGCGTCTGTCATTGAACCAGCGCGGTCCTAGCTGCCACCCAACCAACCATCACCATTTCCTCGCACCCACACCCCCCGCCAGTCCGTCCTCGCCACGGCAGAGCAGACCCCTCCTAGTTGTCTCGCTACGCCTAACCTGAGGGCCTTAGGATGATGTCATCAACCCGCGAAGCAGCAGACAGATGTTTCCCGCCACATTCTGGCACGAGCCGCCGGTTTCGTTGACCAAAGGTGCGCGTCACACTGAATGGGCTCGTATTGTTATGATGTATAAAGGATATCTACACCCAAATAAGTTGACAAACATAAGCAGATCTCTTTGACATGCCTTCAAAGAAGTGAGGGCAAACATAGTCAGAATATCGCAGGCTTCAGTGCCTGTTTTGCGTCCGCGGAAATAATGTGTTTATCAGAATGTGACAGCTGTCACAGTGAATGTTTATTCTTCCGCAGACAAGCTCTCCTCCCGCACCATTCCCTGTGTCTTCCCTGGCTTTCCCCCTAACGCACCTGGCTGGCAGTTTTACCACCCCACCTCGCCCCGTGTCCTGCCCTCTCAGGACGTCACGTTTGACGAGTCAGTCTCATTTTACCGTCTCTTCCCCTACCACACTGCCCCGCTCCCCCCCGCCGCCGCTCTTCTTTGCACCAAGTCCTCCTCCTGTAGACCCCCTCCCCCCTCAGGGTTCTGCTCCCTCAGGTGTGTCCCAGGTAAACCCTGTCGAGCCTGTCGAGGTAGCTGTCGACTCTGGTGTTGCTAGGGGTGCTGCGTCTAGGGGTGTTGAGCCTGGGGGTGCGGAGCCTGGGGGTGCGGAGCCTAGGGGTGCTGGGCCTGAGCGTGCGGAGTCTGAGGGTGCGGAGCCTGGGGGTGCTGAGCCTGAGCGTGCGGAGCGTGGGGGAGCTAAGCCTGGGGGTGCTGAGCCTGAGCATGCTGAGCCTGTAGGTACCTTGTCTGCTGGTCGTCCTACGGGTGCCTCGTCACGGCAAAAGCCTCTCTCTCCACAGCAGTTGCGCGAGTGGTTTGCTCGGCGCTGGAGCCTTTGGAGTGGTGCTACTGGAGCTGGCGGGCCTACCGCTGAAGGCCCTGGAGCTGGGGGCACTGGAGCTGCTGGTCCTGAAGGTGCTGGAGCTGCTGGTCCCGGAGGTGCTCGTACTGGAGGTACTGGAGCCGGTGGTGCTGCAGGCGGTGGAGCTGGAGACCCTGGAGCTGGAGGCGCTGGAGCTGAAGGTACCGGAGGTATAGGAGCTGCTGGTCCTGGCGGTGCTGGAGGTCCTACGGGTGTCCCGTCCCGGCGGGAGCCTCTCTCTCCACCACAGCTGCGCGAGTGGTTTGCTCGGCGCTGGAGCAGTCAGAGTGGCGCTGCTGGAGCCGGGGGGCCTGCCGCTAGAGGCCCTGGCGCTGGAGGCACAGGAGCTGCTGGTCCTGGAGGTACTGGAGGTGCTGGAGCCGATGGTCCAGGAGGTGCTCGTACTGGAGCTACTGGAGCTGGTGGTGGTGGTGCTGCTGGAGGTGCTGGAGCTGCAGGTCCCGGAGGTGCTCGTACTGGAGGTACTGGAGTTGCCGGAGCTGGTGGTGTTGCTGCGAATGGAGGTTTTGGAGGTGCTGGAGCTGCTGGTCCTGGAGGTCCTTGTGCTGGAGGTACTGGAGCTGCCGGAGCTGGTGGTGCTTCTACTGCTGGAGGTACTAGAGGTGCTGGCGGTACAAGAGTGGCTGGAGGTGCTAGAGCTGCTGGAGCTGGTGGTGTTGCAGGTGCTGGAGCTGGAGACCCTGGATCTGGAGGTGCTGGCGCTGGGGGTGCTTGAGCTGTCGGTACTGGTGCTGGAGGCACTGTGCAGCGGCAACTGTTTTTCGTTCCACCGTCGCCGTCGTCTCTGCCGCCTCCTAGTTCGGCACTTCGCCAGGTTCTTAATCTCCCGTCTTCTACTGGCCTTACTCCTCCCTTCCTGCGTCCACCGCCTGACCAGTCGCAGCCACAGCTACAGTCAGACTCCCCACTGCCTGCTCCTTCTCCTTACACTGAGCAGTCAGACTCTCTTACAGAGCATTGTGAGCCTGCGTCTCGCCCTGCCTCGCCTGTTCGCACTGGTCGCACTGGTTGTCGTGTTCCGCGTCCGCGTCCTCCTCCTGTACCCGGCACGCACCATATGGGACTTCGTCCTTCCTCTGTTCCACAGCGTGTCCCCCTGCCGTCTCCTCCTGCGTCCTCTCTTGCTGACAGACCGGACCCTAAGTCTGGCCTCCTTCGTGCTGCTAGTCCTACTGTCAAGCGTCTTTTGGCCAGTGTTGTCACTAACCCTTCATTTGAGTCCACTACTGCATATGCCCTAGTTGCTAAGCTTGTTGAATATGCTGCTGCATGTCGTCTCGACTACGCCGCTAGTCTTGTTGCTGAGTCTGAGTCTGTCTGTCCTCCGTCCGTCGGGTGTGAGTGTGCTCTTGGCACGGACGTCCTTGAGGACATGCACAAGGACTTTGAGTGTTTTGCAGCTGATGTACCTCATCTCGTGTCCATGCTGATTGCACCTAAGGGAGACCCAGATGCACTAGACATCCCGACCCCGCGCTCTTACGCAGAGGTGATTACGGGTCCCTACTCCTCTCAGTGGCAGACAGCCATGGACGTAGGGATGGCATCCTGGAAGTCCACAGGAATGTACGTCAACGCAGTTCCCCCTCCTGGAGCGAACAAAGTCGATGGCATGTGGATTTTCAGGGTGAAGCGGCCGCCAGGTTCTCCGCCTGCCTTCAAGGCTCGTTACGTTGCACGAGGCTTTAGTTAACGACAGGGAGTTGACTTCTCCAGACCTTCTCCCCTACCCCGAAGATGACCACTCTTCGAGTACTGCTGCACGTTGCCGCTCAGCGTGACTACGAGCTTCACTCTGCACAGCTTTCTTACAGGGCAGCCTGCACGAGGAGATCTGGCTGCGCCGCCCACCTGGCTTCACTGGGTTGTTTCCTGCAGGTACCCAAAGGTCAACAGCCGCACGGCGCGAAACTCCGCTTGTAAGTCGGCGTGGTGCTCCTCCGGCGTCGCCACGGTCCCTCGGTCGAAGCCGATCAGCCCGGCCATCTCCAGCTGGGGCTCGATGGCTTCCTTCCAGGTGAGTATGTTCTGTCGACCAACGAGCGGCGGGGTGACCGAGATCCTGTCCGGCGTAAACTTGAAGTAGCCGTAGCTCGGTGCTATCCCGCCTGCCGTCACCTGGGTCACCGACATCGGCGACACTCCACTTCGACGCCCACCGGGGTCGCCCTGCGAGGAGCCTGCTGTGAGGATCTAGGATCAAGATCAGAAAAGAGAATTGTAATTGATTTATTCACCTGGGTACAACACGAGGCTATATATAGTCTCGACACAAGGCCAGTTACCCAGGTGTTACGCGAATGTTCTGAGGGTCGCGAAGCGCCCCGAACAGAACCTTCCCGAACTCAGTAGAAAGCAATTCGGTGGAAACCAAATAGGCTTGAGTTCAGTACACGTAACCTGGTTCGGTGCTATAACTATAATAAAATATAGGAATGCACCTAACCTAGGAAATCAAACATATCTATGCATGATAAAATAAACCCAAGCTAGATATAGCGTAATAAAGTCTAGGCAAGCTAGCAAAGCCAGCATAAGCCGTCGTACTCTCACACCTGCAGCCGCCGAAGACTGCATGCCTCGCGCCTGAACGCCGCCGGCTTCACCGGCGTGTATCACACCTCGTTGCCTCGACGTGCCTCCCGCACTGCTGCCGACCTAACCTCCACCGGCGTTGACGCCCACGTCGACGCCGCCGTCGTTGTTCACCGGTCGAGGAGAGGCAGGCCGAGAAGGGGGGTGCTCCGCCGCCCACATGGAGCGGAGTCCTGCCTCGACGACTGCCCAGGGTATCGCCCCGTACTCCTGGGCCTCATGGCGTCTCCTCGCATCCTCCAGCTATGCCTCCAGGGTGTCCATCACCTCGGCGTCACCTACGCGCACGATAGTGACTGCACGGCTGCCGGCCTACGAACACGGTTGGTGCAAAGTCGGCTAGACTGAACTACGTTGCGGTGTCGTCCATGCCCACCGCACCATGCGGAGATAACTGCTGCAACGGGAGCTAGGCTACGGGCTAGGCATGGGTGCTTGTGTGATCTCTGAGTTCCTTAGTCGTTTGCTTGTGTGTTCTCTGCTTGCACATTCACGGGGAGATTTTGCAAGAGTTTCACTAGCAAAGATTGACAACAATGGATTGCAACAACATTGGCAACACACACTACATCAGAGCTAGCTAGGCTGCTGGTCGACCTCCAGCGCAACATGGTCGACCGCGCTCCAGCGCAGCAGCGCTCGCACCACTCCAGCGTTGCAGAGTAGCGGTTTGCCAACGTTGCAAGTCTACGGTGTGCCAATGCTGCAGCAAGTCGGCTGCACAGCGTTGCACCTGCAGGACAACGGTGCACATGCTTCGCAGATGCGTGCAGCTGGTTGGTGCGCCACTCCTCATCATGTGCACAGCGCAGACGCCTTGCAGACTCCACGCCAGCGACTGCGCCCACCAGCCACGTCGACCTCGGGATACCACCCCCGAGGTCGGCCTCGCAGACTCCACCC